TAGCTGAAGTTACAAAAATATCTTGTGTAGAAGTAAACAATTGCACAAACTGCACTCGATTAGCAAAGAATTACCTGTGTCTGACCGGGCCATTCTGTCGAATGACTGCTACTTGGGGAATCATCCAGTGTTGAGTCAGAAACCACTTCAGAAGATGTGAACACAACTGGCAAGTGGCTCGTTCCGCTGGTAGCTCCTTAATGTCTGTCAAATTGCAGAGCTGATTCCCAAAGTCGGAATCTTCAAACTGTAAAATGAAGTTCCCTCGTAGACCCAGAGTGTTGCGCAGTTTTGCACACAGATCATCAACTGATGAGGGAACATCTTCTAGGGTGACACGCCTTATATCTTCAGGTGAGAGGATAACTCTGAGAAACATCATTGAGGTGTCTGCATCAGCTGAAACACAGTGAACAATATAGAAAACACTTTATCATCAGGAAATAAACATTGGAAGTGAATTGAAAATAAGTTGCACGTAATAAAATGTACAGAAGAGACTAAAGAAAACACTTCCCAGTCAAACTTTACCTTAATGTAACATGAATGTCCTTGGAGTGACAACCAGCTTTCCTTCCACAAGGTATGCAGCAAGAGGGGTGTAGTCATTCAGATTGTCAGGCTCGACAACCACAGTCACTGCAGGGTCTCTTCTGGCAAGCTGGAAACACCCAAGATGAATCACGAAGGCTGCTGTGAATAGTTCCATAATGAATGATATGCAGCAATCCACTACACAGATATCGAGTACTCTCCATAAAAATCTGGCAGTCCACTTGTCTGTCCAACTGAGAGCAGAGCACCATTCCTTTCGAATATTTTGTCCCATTTAAGTAAACAGTGGAGGTGAGTGAAACAGAGTACAGATCTTTAAACTTATTCCTTAAGGCCTCTCTGATAGCAACATCTAAGATGTCCACAGATACGACTGATGATTTCCCAGTCTCAATGCTTGGTTTGAAAATTGTTGGCATCTCCAAATAATATGCCAACATCAGCTGATGTCTTGTGGCTAAAGTGTGCAGAATATTTTTGAAGTTGCCAGTATTGTGAACCACCTTTTTAAAGAAAGAATGTTTGGCCTCAAATCTTATTGTCCAGAACTCAATTGGTGGACCAAGTTTCTTGATCAGTACAGGATAATGTTCAAGATAATGATGCTGAGGACGTAATCTTGTACCAGGAAATATTTCCAATAGCAACTGTCTGTGGTCAGAGATGTTTGCTTGTAGGTAGCACAGGGTTTCTGTTGTGAATGAGGGGCTGGATAGTAGCTCCACAATGTCTTTCAGTTCAAGGATCACAGACCAGGTTTGTTTTCTTTAAAGTATTCACCATCTTGAAATGAACTGTAATGACCTTCCCGTCTTCCCGTTGACGTCTGTAATGATTGAAGAATCTCAGTTATTTCAAACAACTTACTTAACAGCTCTAAAATAGGAACATAAACAAATGAATGGGTTTTTTCTTGTACATTTAGCACATACTCGACTGGTTCAATGACTGCAAAGTTATTTTACGCTCTCTGTGCCCAAAGGTCCCTGCCTTGAAATACATTTCAGTGGGTTTAAAGATTGTATTTCATCACACAATGCTGTAACAACAGAGGCATCAACTACACAGTTATTTTCCTCCAAAACTTTCTGTATAATTTCCTTGATATTTTGATCAACAAGTTCTCCAATGTCAAATAACTCATCAATTACTTCCTGTATTGCTGAATTAGAAACATGTAAAATGGTTTGCATGCGGAGGAATAAAGATGCAAACTTATTTGTAATGGTCTCTCCATTTTCAAGAAGATGTTCAGCACCAGGTAGAGAATCATATGAAGGTGATGCCTCAGTATCAGAAACAGAATCCTCCCTGATTACAGTATTTGTATGTCCATGCTGTACACAAAGCCCTAGTCTAAGACTATTTAGGGTGGAACATTTATGATAGCGACTTCTATGAGCAGTAATGGTTGATAGTATACTGGACTTGAATGAGCAGTCTACGAATGGACATTTAACTGTTTCCCTATTCCTCAAATGAGTCTTTAAATGAGCAAAATATCTGTTCATGTCACTAGGCTCTGAGAATGAACACAAATCACAGCATAATTTTGACACACATTTGTTAGCTTCTTTAACATGTTCTTTCAAATGTTTTTTATGTAAAGCTTGGGTTTGAAATGTGTTCAAACAGTCTTCATAAATACAGACAAGGCCTGAACACCTTCGATGATGTCCATGACGCTGTTTATAATGCTGAATTATTCTTCCTTGCCAATTGGAGGAGAACGCACAAAACATACATTTCCACTTCATGAAATGGACATGCTCGTTCACACCTGTAACACAAAATAAATGCACGTTAATTACCTTGATATTGACCTTCCACAAATATATTGGTATCAGCATTTATGTTTTCATATCAGCAGAGATGAAAAAAATTGCTTTAAAAATTACAATGAAGACAATTATGCTTGGGGTGATTCAAATTTACGTTCCAGTGTTCAGGTTACATTTGTAATAGCAGTTGCCCCCTATTTCTTCAAATCATACCACAGCAGTAGCGAGTTTCATGCAGCAGAGCGGTCAAAGAAGTCACTGTTTGTTGTTTTTGTGGTCTTTATTTCTTGCTGCTGTGGCGTGATCCATACATTAGATTTAAACTCAAGAGCTACTGCTATCCCTCTCTCTACCCCTCTCTCTATCCCTCGCCCCACCGGCTCCCGATGCTCTCTCACCTGCTCTTGGTTGCCCACACACTACGTACATTACGCACCGCACTATTCCCGAAAAAGCTAAACTACTCTCATGACATTTTGGTATGATACTTATAAAGTAATAGTTAGAATATCCGACACACGAAAACCCAACACAAATGTCGTCTCCGTGTCTCCTCTGCCCTGTCCCCCCACACATACACACACGCAGAGCGGAGAAAAAAGCAGACAAGGTAGATCTCCCTCACAAATGATGAGTTGCCTCCAGGGTCTGCAGCATGCGCCACATGATTACACGTCTTTATGTGTATACAGTTCATAATAAATTGTATATTTTACTGGTCAATATTAAACCCAAAGTGCACGCACAGCCATTAAAAGTGACAGTCTCGCTCCCTTAACCCTGACTTTAGTAGCTCATAATTAAAAACAAATCCATTTGCTTACACTTTAATATTTGTAGCTTTCTATCAATATTAGTAAGCACAACGTCCACAGATAACTTCATACTCTTTATTTTTTCAAACCGTAGTAGTAGCAGGCAAAGAATTAAAGGTTTTAAAATCATTAAAACTTACCTCCATTGCTGGTAAATAAAATGCCCTCCGTAATAGTAATGTGTAGGTTGCGAGCGAGCCGATTCTGTTGAACGGCTCTTTGGTACGAACGAGGGGAACCGAGTCGTACTTGGTCAGAGCCGTTCTTTTTATCGTTCAATCGTTGGTCCGCACTCAGTAGCCTCGTCTCAATACCCCTCCTCGACTCCTCCTTTCCCTCACTCGCGTCCCTTCCTTGCGTCTTAGCTCCGCCTCCGTAAGATGCGAGCGAGAGACACGAGGAGGTGACGCGAGGACAGAGGAGTCCTCAGGTATTAATTGGGATGTCCTCGTTCACTCAAACGTCACTCTTCAACGACGTCTGTTAATGATGACATGTGCACAGCTGTATCCCCTCTCATCGGGCTTAACTGAATAACCTTTAGAACCGGCCCATTTATTGTTAAATATGTATTTAAATGATGAATCTTTCTCTTGTTAGTCAAGGAATTCAATGTATGATGGTTGGTCCTGCTTTTGTGTTCCGTTGTGGTGTAAAATGTACATTTCAATAAAATTATAATTATAATAATGTGAAAGCCTTTACTCTGAACATGTGTGTCCTGTAGATCCCCACATTTACCACAAACCCACATTCAGGACTGTGCATTTTAAATAATTTAACTACTCAATATTTTAACACAAAACAAAACAAATAATTGTTATTTATCAAGATCTAGCCATTTATGAAATAGCTTTCTTAATAGCTATGTTTTAGTGACGTCCAAGATCATTAAACATGACTTAAATTGTTAGTATAACCTTAAGAAATGAATTGCACATAATAATTCCCACGGAGCTGAGCACTTATACATTTATGTGACGCTTTTCCACTCATTCTTCCAGTTCTCCGTTTTCCTCTCTTGAAATCGCATCATTTATGAGAATACATTTTATAACATTAAGACAACATATTCGAGGGGTGATCAATAACATATCCGTATTTATTTATTTCTCCAAGTTACGTTTTTGTGTGCACTGAGGAGTCTCAAACAGGCGTTTGTTTAATCATTTTAAGATTGGCTTTAATCCATTTTTGCAAATGTATTCTTCATATATGATACATTAGAGGTAATGTTTTGATTGATGGTATTATTTTCACATGTTTCTCTCCATTCTTCCTTCTGCCAACGGTGTCTCAGTTTCTCATCTTTCCCGTTTTTGTGCGTACGCATGGGTCAGAGTGTCCGTGGATGACCGCACATTCTCCTGTCAAGTTTGTTTTTTATAAATCGCAAAGATTGCTTAGAAATTGGCGTACGCCATCTTTTGAGTGTACGCCACGTTTATAAATGAGGCCCCTGGACTGCAACTGAGAGCACTGGGCGAGGTACAAAGGTAGAGGGGGAGGATGGAATAGAACAATAACCGGTGTGGAAGAGAGGCTGCCTGCAACCATGGCGTTTGTGTTTGACTTGTTCTGTATGTGCCTGCTATAGAGACAGCTATAACCCCATAATGATTTCATCATGAGTGCATATTGAGACATTTTACTTGTATGAAACTTGTGCAATAATAATCCAAGTAATCTGCTCATACCTACCAAAGTTCTTCGATTGAATTGAGGACAATGTAAACAACATGTGTGCAATGACATTTCCTTTTTTGGCATAACTCATGAGTGTTATAATGCACTAACTCAAATTTAAAATTAACTTTACCCAACACTGTTAAGATGTCCTTTCTCTCACCTGGTGATGGTCGTATAGGATGTTGAAGGCTGTTACTGTTGTTGTGACAATGGAAGGGTGGGTGGGGCTATCTGCGACTGACATGCCAATGCCACTGACCACCTGCACAGACAGGTCCCCGGGGGTAACCGGCTCAGAGGTCACAGTGATGTCACATCCGCCCAGCATGCCATCCCACTGCTCAGAGATGACCTGAGAGAAGACAGATGGTAGTAATGATAGTGCTCAATTAGTGAGGATGTCCAACTGAATTGCTATACAGCTATCATACATGGAGTGATGTCTTTCCTGGTCGTAAACCAATCAAGTTGTTGTTGCTGTCAAGGGAAGCTACTCGAGGGTCCTCTACTCTTAGCCAATTGCGGACCAGCTCTGTAACATCCACGAACCAATCAGATGAGCCAAGGAGGTATGTGGTTCTGCCAAGAGAATCCTGAGCTGTGAACCGAGTCAGAACCCGGACTGAAGAGCGTTGATACACTGGCACACACCTGAGGAGACAGGAAACACATGAGGAGCTACAGTCCTAACACACCTCTGTGTGTCTGTGAGACAATGATGCATAGGACCATGCCACCAATACATTTTGTGATGGAAACTTCTGAAGCAATGGAGACGAAACTCAGAGAGACACGGGGAGAGTTGGAGCTTGATGGCAAACACTGATGGTTTATTATGGAGATACGTCAGGAGGATTGACAAAGACATGTGCTGTGCCATGAGTTGACACAGCGGTTGCCAAACCAATTCTGAAAATCTCTTCGGTTTTAACTAGTTCAGAATGTAATAATCAACATTCCTCATCAGCGAGACTAAACAAATATGGACCCTGAATCTAACTAGAGCTGTCGTCCATAGAAAAGAATGTGCGCAAGGGAAATAAATACGTTATGTTATGTTATGTTCCAGAAAATACGGGCCTCTAGATGTCCCTGAACAATAAACTACCTCATGGCAGCTTGTGCTCTGTCATAGCCTCAACAATGATCCCAAGCTGCCCTTCCTTAAGAGAGATAGCAGCAACACCCCATACCGTAGACCTATGCCATTGGAAAAGAGACAGGCAAAGGAGAAAATGATGAACTGTGTCAAAGGTTAAATACCTAAGCAAATTATTCCCCAACACAATTGAGAAGTTATTATTATGCACTTTGAATCTCTGACTATAGTTAAAGCTCTTAGCCTGAACAGTTTTTCCCCACCATGTCTCTTGTGCAAGCAAATAAAGTGAGCAAAACATTTTTCATTACACAACAGGAAAATATTTGAAAACTCACCACAGGACCAGCCGGACATAAAAAGTTTCACATACTGTACCAGCCATATTCGAGATAGAATGAGAATTCCCTCTTAAATCAACAAAGCAGGATGGCCAGAGTTGAGGCAATTTTTTAATAATAATAATAATAAATTGTATTTATATAGCGCTTTTCTTGCGCATTGTTCTATCTCACACAGGCTCCGCCCTCTACTGGACTCTATGAGTACTACGCTCATCAATGATACACAAGCGTTCACACACTCAAGTTGTATAAACGTAGCCGGCCAATCAGGGCGAGCCTACCTGAATGCGCGCGCAGGCTCACAGTATATAAGGCGGCTACGCCTCCTAACTGTCATCCTTTTCTCTTCAGCGAGCGAGACAACACCTGACCAGAAAAGCCTTCGAAAAAAACAAGTAAAAAGTATCTTACCTCCAGGCAAGCAAATGGAGTCGCCCCTGGAAACCCGTGCCTGTCCCTCATGCCCGGCTCAATAGCGGGCGCCGATCCCCACCAGCTCTGTTTCTAGTGCCTGTGACCAGACCACGCCGAAGACGAGCTCGAGGTGGTGGACGTGGGAGACCAGGATATGGCCGAGGCGACGCCACCAATGTTCGCCATCGGGTTATGGCTCCGTTTGCTGAGGAGGAAGAAGATGACTTCGTCCTGCCGCCGAAGCCGGCCGCCGAAGCCAGGGGTTTTACGGTCCGGCCCGCCCGGCGCAACCGGCTTTCGTCTCGCCCCCGTTGCCAGATATCTGGCAGTGTGTGGAGGCGTCGTGGCAACAGCCACTGAAAACGAGATGTCGATGGCAGGAATGGTAGGTATTCTGAGGGTGCGGGGCCGCACGGAAACCTCATATCCCAGCGTGCCCCCCCTCGATGAGAGCCTGGCACAGGCAGCAGGCTGGGCGGAGAACCTCTGCCCCCGCTGCCGCATGACAGGGAAAACGCTGGAATATTTTTGATAGAATATTCCGGCTTGGAGCGGATGGCCGCGGCTGCAAATTACACGGGTGTGTTAGGCGTCTCGCTGATTATTCCTCCGTAAGATGCCCCCACCTCATCGGATCAGAGCGATTATTTGGACCGCAGCAAATTAATAACCTGATCCATGGTGTGACAGCCGCTGCTGGCCAGGTGATGTCCCTGGCCACAGTGGGATCACGCCACAGCTGGCTGGGACTCCCGGCATTCTCCAAAAAGTGACCGTGATGATCTCCTGGGAGCCCCCGTGTCTACAGAGGGACTCTTTGGATCGATAGCCTCGGTCACGCAGCGTTTCAAAAGCAGCACTATTGTGAGCACACTCGCCACTCAAGCTGTAAACTCCGGTAGAGGAGCCAGCGCTCTTACACTCACATGAGTGTAATAAACCGCAGGAAGTGCCGTCAAAGCACTGTGCGGTCAGGGACACTATAGCCGGTGTGTTGCTGTCAGAAAAACACCTCACCTGGTATAGTGGATGGTTTGGCGGCGGAAAGGGCCGCCAGAGAGTACCACAGCTTCTTAGCTGCGGCTCCACAGCTGCTTGCATGTCCCCCAACACAGTTTTATGGGGAATGGAAGCTCAGCTGTGTACTGGCAGAATGGATGGCCAGGACACTGAGGGTGTTTCTCAATCGCGAGTACGCTTGCTTGGTAGCACATGTCTGCCGAGCATCTTGCTTCAGAAGCGAGGCAAGAATACTTCCTGACATTCGGAAAACGAAGTGTGGAACACGCTAGCAAGTGTGCAGGTGTGCGTCATATAAGATCTTCCGCCACAGATTTGGGGAAATTGGTCCGTGCGCAAAGCATTGTGGGGATTTTAAGACCGCGAAGTCTACTCATGTGCAGCCTCGATATTTCTCCAAACGGAGTACGCCGGGCTCGGTAGATTTCCAAGTTTGCTGGAGATTGGAACAGTACTTCGGTGCCACTCGATGGCGTAGTATGCTTGAAATAGTGGCTCTGCAGCAGCTTTACTCGCGATTGAGAAACACCCTGAGACTGGGATACTCACTCCAGTTCTGCAGCATCCCTCCTTCATTCAGGGGTATAATGGTGTATTTCTACTACAGCACGGAGCGCGTTTTTGGTTGCGTTTCCACTAGGCGTAGTTCCGGCTAGCGCAGGGGTGGGCAAACCTTTTGGCTCGGGGGCCACTATGAGTTTTAAAATTTGACAGACGGGCCGGGCCAGTAGCAGATCGGTGAAAAAATATTTAGCTGTCCACTCCTCATTAAACACTCGGCACTCATTGTCGACTTTTCTTTTCTTTGGTCCACTCATTGTTACAGATGCAGGTTCAAAGGTGAATTAGGTTCAAAGGTGAATTATTGCATCATTGCGTCATCGTTTGCATCATGACGTAACCGTTTACGTCATGACGTAACCGTTTACGTGCCTTCTTATTACCCACACAGCATTTTACGTCGCTGATTTTCTCCGCAACACCGCTCACAACAACATCAATAGAGGACTGCGTCGGGTGGTTTTTAATCATACGAAGCCAGATTAAATTAAATAACTACTTCTCCAACCTAATACCTTTCTCCAGAGTGCCGTGGTGCATTGTTTATTAATGTGGTTCAGCGGCATTACCGACCGCTGGAGCGCTGCTCGTCTACCGGAGTTTAGTTTACTGTTAACTCAGGGCAGCGGCCGCTGTAAAGTATTCACTGTCCGACTGTCACACAAGCAGCTGATAAATATCCCCCATCCCCATAAGTGAATGTGTTTTAGTCTGAAAGCTTTTCGGCATTCTCTGGTGATGTTAGCATAGCAACCGAAGCTAATCAGACTATCTTGACTACTTGTTGCTATCATATTGTGGCATAAGCCGTTTTCTACACACATATTTTACCGGCGTAGTTTTTGTTATGATTTTACTTGTGATGGCCACATGTAGCCCATGTATTGATTCCATCCGATAGCTGCAATAATACAGAACAACAGGAAAACGTCTGCCTCTTCACAATGGTCAATAACAGTGAACGGATGGTTATTAAAGTAAGGTCAAATAAACAGAATCACACTAAGCCTGGTTAGTGTTGCCTGACTTTATATAAGTGTTTTTTTATAAGTGTGTGGTCGCGTTCTAGTCACTTTGCTCAGTGCTACTGCTTGTTCCAACTTGTATTCGCCGTACTCGCCATGAACTATTGCTCAGGTTAATCTCGACCTCCTCCTATGGCGTGACGTATTTGATCTTGCCGGGTTGCCGGGTGGGGCCAGCTAAGAGAATAGACCAGACTCCAGCAAAGGTCAATTGTGTCTAGAGTGCGCCATCTAGTGGGATCAACTGAAATGCCAGGTATTGCAGGAAAAAGGCTAAATGAATGCGGTCTTTACTATAATTTGGACAATTTTGTACCAATATTCGGCGGGCCGGATTAAAAAGCCCAACGGGTCGTATATGGCCCCGCGGGCCTTAGTTTGCCCATGCCTGGGCTAGCGGGTACTTTTTCACAGTTTTCTGGCTCTCCAAAATCGAGGTTCTTTCCGGGCCAACAACCGGGCTGAGTATGCTAAACTAGTGAGAGAATTGCTACAACAAAATGAACATATTTTACCTGATTTAATTGTAATACACGTTTCAAAATGATGCCGAAGTAACAACATACTGATACCGCTTAGTAAAAACCATGAATTAATGCTTTGACAAGTCTGCAGACAGACGGCAGGTGAAAAACCTTTTAAAATGCTTGTTTTCTGAATGGAGATCGGCTAAGCTAACGCAGTATGCTCCGACCGTCCACACTCACAACAACGGCCTATACAGACATAAATAAACCAGCAACTTTATTCGCCATGACACAGACAGTCTGTGGTTTGTACTTGTTTAACTTTTGTCTAGTTTCTGAACAGATATGAGGAGCTGTGAGCTCTGAGGGCTAACAGCTAACGGCTGATGTTGGTTTTGTGTTTCGCATTGAAGATGACGTCACGGCTCCGCCTACACTGCGTTACTATAGTTACTACCCCAGTTCCTAAACTTTAATGGAAACACAGCATAAAGTGAGCCTGGCCTACCAAGGCCTAACTATACCGTACTAAGCCGTGCAAGGCCCTGCAGTGGAAATGCGCCATAAGAGAGGAAAATCTATCATCCCAGGAGGAGATAGGTTTCCTTTCAACAGAGATTCAGGCCCTGTTACAAAAAAAACAGGCTGTGTCTGTCGTGCACTCTCAGGACAGAGAAAAGGTGCTTTACTCCATGTACTTCCTGGTTTCCAAGAAGACAGGAGAATTCAGACCCATTCTGGATCTTCGCATCCTGAATCAGCACATTGCCTGCAAAAAGTTCCATATGTTAACCATAAAACAATTACTGGAACTGGTGCAGCCGGGCGATTGGTTCACAACCATCGACCTGAAGGACGCTTACTTTCATGTCAAAAGTGCTCCAAAGCACAGAAAGTATTTGCGTTTTGCCTTCCAGGGGATAGCCTACGAGTACAACAGACTTGGGTCTCATGGCTCACCACGTGTGTCGCCTACAGAGGTGGTTTGCCAGCCTTCGTTTAGATCCCAAGAGGCACAAACGACGTCTGTAGGGATGGGTATCATTAATTAATTATCATTAAGGTTTTAACGGTACTACTACTTTTATCGATACCGCTTATCGGTCCGGTCTTTTAGCGGTACTCTTATCCGTTCTTTTCGAGAAAAAAAATAAGGTAAACTAACTAAACAAATTGTGAACAAAACTAACATTGCTTTTTATTTAAATTAAATACATAATATTTCACCTTAAAAGAAACAACAATGTTTTAACAAACCGTATTAAATAATCTGATGACAGAATTGTAAACAGAATAGCTGAAACTTAAACAAAATAAATAACTCAGTTACCTCTAATCATTAACCCATGTTTGTATCATTTAGTTAACTCCGTGTGTTGCTGCTAGCATACATAATACAGAGCTACTAGAAAGACAGTCGAACCCGGTGCATTTCTCCGTCTGAATGTGGTGCACATTTGCTAAATGTTTAGACAAATTGCTCGTGTTACCGCCCTTACATGCTAAACTCTTGTTGCACTTTTGGTAACGAGCATTGTCCACATCGAGACGGGTAAAGTTTAACCACACCTCGGAGCGCATTCTCTCCGCCATCTCCTCCGTGTGTGTGTGTTGCTGCATGTAGCAGCTGCGTGTGTTTAAACTGCCCTGCCCCCTCGCACACAGACAGGAGAGAGATCTCTCGTCTGGATTGGAAAGATCGAAAATACTCAAAATAATCATAGACGTATTTTGCAGTCTTTTTGCATATTAGAAACGGAGTTGGCGACACTAGAACTGCAATATAATGTTTGTGCAGCAATAATACATATGACATATATTTTTTGAATGTCTCCAGTACCGATAAAAAGACTGATAACGTCGGAGCTTAACGGTACCACGGTCTTTAATAATCCAGTCCCGGGGCCCGTTTAATACCGGGGCTCGGTACCCATCCCTACCCTTCAGTGGAGGGCAACCCCCGATACTGGGGGTCCCCAGAGCATTTGCTGAAGGGAAGGGACCTGCCTAGAGACAGCTATAGGTGGTGGCTGGCCTCTGACAGAAACTCGGCACATCAACCTTCTAGAGCTACAGGCAGTAGTACTGGTCATACAGCACTTCAAACCCTTACTACAGGGCAAACATGTGCTGGTGAGGAGCGACAACTGCACCACAGAGGCTTACATCAACAGGCAGGACGGAGTCAGCTCCGCCGCCTTGTTGAGTGTATCGGAGAACCTGTGGTTGTGGGCCTCAGAGAATGTTTTTATCTCTAAAGGCCCCCCACATTCCGGGACTGGAGAACAGGGTGGTTCTCCCTGGCTCGGCAGGACAATCCACCCTTGGGGGTGGACACGTTTGCACACGAGCCATGGCCAAGATAGCTGCTCTACGCCTTTCCACCGCAGGTGCAATAGGGGCGTTACCCACTCTGGGCCAACCTCTCCAGGCTTGGCTCCTGAGAAGGAGACTACCGTTCGGCTACTCCCTGTCCCCAGGCACATTCAGCAAATGTGTGGCCACAGCGCTTCAGCCGCTTCGCGACCATGGCATGAGGGTTTTATTTTATCTCAACGACCTCATAGTCATGGCCAGGTCCAGAGAATGGGCAGATGTTCCACACAGCCCAATTGATCTTACACCTAACCAAGTTGGGGGTTTGTGGTCAATTGGAAGAAGAGCAGTCCCATACCTCACCAGCAGGTGGGGTATCTGGGGATTTTGCTCAATGCAGCCCCCATCGAGAGCGAGGGGTACGCCCCCATCGAGAGCGAGGTGTACGCCCCCATCGAGAGGGAGGTATACGCCTCCATCGAGAGAGAGGTGTACGCCCCATCGAGAAGGAGGGCAGGCTCTGTGCCACTCTGTCAGAGGACAGACAGACGTCCCTGCTTCAGGCAGTTTGCGGACTGAACGTTGGTGCGAGGAAAGGAGTCTAGAGACTCTGTCCGGTACATTGGGCTCTATTCTATCCTAGCTATAGCTACTGGTGGACAAGGGGCTTGCTCATGCCACAGTCAAGGTGTATGCAGCAGCCATCTCGTCCTGTCATGCGGGATTTGGCGGCAGACCAGTCTTAAGCCAACCGCTTTTGAAGCGTTTTTTTGCAGGGGATCAGGAGACAGCGCCCAGTCGTGCATGTCTCCACCCCGCAATGGGAACTGCCATTGGTGCTCGAGGCTTTGGTCACAGAACCATTTGAGCCTTTGGAGCTCTCCTCCTTGAAAACAGCTTTGCTGCTTGCCTTGACTTCGGCCAAGAGAGTATGTGAGCTGACCGCTCTGTCGGTGCACCCAAGTTGCCTTTTGATTCGGGGTGACCGTAGCGGGGCGACACACCGAACCCCTCCTTTGTTCCCAAGAACCTAAGGAGTTTGTTCAGGTCGAGGGCTATACAGTTATACGGCTTTAGTCTTCCACACCATACTGGGGACAGGGAGGCAAAATTGCACCTCCTCTGCCCAGTTTGTGCGCTGGCATGTTATGTAGGGCGCATGTAGCCTTCCCCACTAGGGTCCATGCACACTCTACACGAGGTAAGTGTGTGTGAGTGTGGGGGACATAGGGGACTTACGTTCTCCCCATGCTCCTTAGGGACCTGGGAAACGTAGTGCGCAGTGTATAGTCACTTGCGCTGGCACCTGCAGGGTGGAGCTATGGGCTTATTCAGACCAATTAGGCTCTACCCAGCCAAGTAAGCTGCGGCCCCGACTTCTCCACGGTCACAACCAGATGATAGGAAGTTGGGGTGCGGTGGCTGTTAACCAAAGGCTGGTCAAGGGCAGTGTGGTGGGTCGATGTTGTAGGACGACAGGGCGTTTATCCATCGGGGCTCCATCCACTGTACCCATAGAGTCCAGTAGGGGCCCTGTCTTTCCTATGCCGCTCGCTGAAGAGGGTGTAGGATGACAGTCAGGAGGCGTAGCCGCCTTATATACTGTGAGCCTGTGCGCTTATTCAGGTAGGCTCGCCCTGATTGGCCGGCTACGTTTATACAACTTCAGTGTGTGAACGCTCGCGTATCATTGATGAGAGTAGTACCCATAGAGTCCAGTAGAGGGCTCCGCCTGTGCTTATATAACTACGGTTACAATACGTAACCCACCGTTTCTGATACAGCACATAGCTAGGTTCTTTCCTCAGTGTTTACCTCTAGAACAGTGTCATTATATGTATTATATAGATAACAACTTTACTCTAAGTCCCTCTCGTAGACATCCTGCTGAATACACAAACACACAGCTGCAGTTTATATAAAATACATCAAAAAGTGCATTTTGCATGATAGGAGACCTTTAAACAAATACGTTGAACACATTATGTTGCTAGCTTTAGTCTGTAGAATATGTGCTAGCCTAAACCTAATGGCAACAAGCACTAACAAACAACCAAATCCAACTCACATGTACTGTAGCTGTGAGCAAAAGTGGTGGTAATGCAGAGCCATCTTACGTTACTGTGGTAACAGGAATAAAACAGTGGCAACAGGAAAACAAAACTCCTGAAAGCTTGGTGGCCTGCCAGCTGTAGTCACCAACTATTAATGTGACTCATTTGGACAATGACACGTTGAGGTTTCTGAACCATTGACAGCGCTGTCGTTTGTAAGGAGCCGAGGTGTGTGCGCCACAGTTACCTCTGCTGATTTTGCCGGACTCTTTTAATGAATTCAAAACATGTTAAGCACTCTGATTTATCCTCAGAACTGTTACATGATGTGTATTTTGTATAATATGTAACTTTTTTTATTATAATTTCCTTCTTTTTTTAATCTTTAATACTTTTTTTTGCATGCTTTAGGTAACATTAAGCTGTATTTGGCTCTTTTCTGCTGTAGCAATGTAAATGTCCCCTCTGTGGGACTAATAAAGGTATTCTGATTCTGATTCTGATGTGCTACAGTCTTATGAGTGATCCAATCCAGTACAATCAATGAAGACCAATTGGGAATGTCTCCTACCCTTCTTCTGTGAAGTGGTTCCAGCCATCAATGACATTGAGAATGGAATCGGCCAAAGACACCCGAAGGGGCACTGAAGGGGCCCACACCTCCAAACACAAAGAGCCACGGAGTGCACCCAGTAGAAACTCCACCTCTGCACAGGTGTCACCCAACCCTGATTCGCTGCCATCCACAAAGAGGGTGGAGCAATCGCTGGAAACCTGTGATTCCAAGTGAGACAAACAAAAAAAACAAGAGGAGAAGAATCAAATTATACTGGCAATTAAAGGACATTAATAGTAGGTTAATAATTTGAGTAAAACATTAGAGAAGATGGATGTTTTTTAAGAGCAATGAGACGTCACGTTAAACGACTTCCGTTTGTGATGACAGCGACAGCTGATGCATCTGGATCGACTGTCAGTTGCTGCAGAGTTTTGATAGAGTTTGGGTTTGCAGACATGTTCGCTGATCTACTACTAACAAAAGAGACAGTTATCTCCGCCAGAGCAGCAGCAGTGTGTTCCTGTTCCACACACACCTGCACATTAACCTGTTAAGCCCTGAGCCTGTTTTTCAGGTCTCAGGCTCGAAAATGACATTCCCAGAACAAATTACTATATATCTTCCCTTTTAAAAGGGTTAAATGCATAATCTTTTTTCTCAAAGCAATGATAAACCTGTGAGTTGGATGTAAAAAAGTCAGAATCAATATAGATTTTTTTAATTTGAATGTAAATTCAGATTGAACATAGTAAAAAAATGTAAATTATAGTGTCTGTCCAAAAATATGTTTTACTTATAGTGAAAACCACCCTTGAAGGATGGGATAGTAGACTAAAAGCTTTAGGAATCCAAACTATAACATATAATAAGTACCCTGTATCAAGATTGATGCAAAACAAGTGAAATTTGACCTTTTTAGAGAGATTTAGAAGAAAAAAAAACACTTCTGGGGTCATTTGGGTGCATTTTCCATATCTCTGGCCCTCCTCGGTCGATTTTGATGATTGACATCTCTTTTTAACTGTTAGAGCCAATAGAATCGAGGGGAAGTTAAGTTCCTAAAATCCATCTAAACATTACCCATTGGTGAATGAGTGCTGCACAGCCAGAATGCCCCGGAACCGGAAGCTGCAATACACTCTGGTGGCTACCATTAGCAGCTAATATTAATTCTCCGATTTTTACATTAAAGTGTTCTCAAAGCTGGTAAAGGTGCAGCTAGGTTGAATGACTTTGTATACTGCAGGGGAGCTTGTGAATTTACTCCAGGTGGAACTAAAGTCTGATTTAACACTTGATTATATTTCACATCATTCATCCAAATCTGTAAAGTAACTAAAGCTATTAAATACATGTAGTGGAGTCAAAGTACACCATTTACCTCTGAACTGTAGAGGAGAAGAACAAAGTAGCAAAAATCTCAAAATTGTACCCAAGTATAGTACTTGGCTCAACAGTGCTGCCAAAATTATAAACTGACTGCTACACAATTAAAATAAATGCTTTTATATATTTCTATTAGATGTGACTCTTTGGCGTTTCTGTTATTATTAACTGCTTTAGTTGTTCTGACTGCTAAAATCCTCTGTTATTCCTCATTTTAAAGCCGATATTCCGTGGGGTTGGGGGGCTCGGATCCTTGTCACCTTTTTCATACCTGATGAGTTTGCATCCCTGTGTTTGACAAACCCTGTGATTAGTTCTCAAGCTCTGTGATTTGATGTTGGAGTGGCAGTGCGCAAAGTTTACAGCGTCAAACAGCACTTTGAAATGGAATGAAACCCATCGACGGCACACTATCCAAATCAAGACTCGAACGTGTCCTACCCCTCCCCACCACCCCCCCCCCCCTTTAGGTCACAGGCTCCTCCAACAGTGCAACACAATAAAACAGATACATTGAAAAAATAGTGCAAGTAAATACAAAAAGAAAAATAGTTAAAAAGTAAAATAGTGCAATAAGAGTCTATATACAAGTATGGAATATGATATATTAAATAAATAATTTCTAAGTAGCAGCCAGATGAATGTTATGGATGTTGTTTCAAAGTTCAGGTGTTTAATAGTCTTCTGGCCTGTGGGATGAAACTGTCCCTGAGTCTGGTGGTTTTAGTCCGGATGCTGCGGTACCGCCTGCCAGACGGCAGCAGACAGAACAGTTTGTGGCTGGGGTGATGGGGGTCTTTTATAATCCTGAGGGCTTTCTTTAAGGTTAACCTGGTATTTTTACTACATTTATTTTAGTTACTTTACAGATTCTGATTAATGATGTGAAATATAAACAACCCTTAAATCAGACTTTAGTTACACCTGAGTAAAATTCAGTGAAGGTGATTGTCAAGTGCCAACAATCAGGCGAGATATTTGGTAGTGGGTGCTTGAGAAGACAAAAAATGTATCTGCAGATCCCTATAAAGTATATTCATTACTCGTTATTCTTTAATTGTTCATCAAAACCTGTATATAATGGCTATTTTGCACATCCCTTTCAAGATTACAAGATTTTCAAAGGTTTATTGAAATATCATATACACAACTACGGTGTAGTTATGCAATGATGACAAACTTGGGTCACAGGTTCCTCAACAAGAGATCTATCAATATGTGTGTACCTCCACCATTAAACTGTCATATTCTGCACATTTCTTATTCTATCTACATACATCTTATAAGAGTATAATAAATATGTATAATATCGGTTAAAATAAGTGCTTCAACATAGTTAACATTGCAGGAAAGTTGATTGTCAAGTCCCAAAACAAACCATGCAATATATTAAACGTTAAGTACTTTGTCAGGCTTAATATAGATACCCCCAAAGCTTTTTGCTTACATGTATTTAAAAGAAGACCTTAACCTAAAGTATTCTTTAATGTTTAAATAAAGCCTTATTAGTTTGTCTGTTTTGCACATCCTCCTATCAGGCACTAAACTGTTTTATTCTAGATACCATTTACAGTATCTTCTTGATATTTTCTATTCTATATTTCTATCATTGACCTTCTACTTTCCTCCTATTTTGTATATACTCTTAATATTTAAATGTTTTCATCAAATATAACACATTCAAAAGTGCTTTACAAAAATGAAAGACATTAAGAAAAAGGCATTTTAAACAGTCATTAAAAAGCAACACAATCTCCCTGCATTGCATTACTCTAAACGTGTAATAACGTGCTTTCACCAGTAGGAGGTGCGGGTTAAAAAGCTGTCAAGTTTACAGTGTTAACAAAATAAAATATACTGCTGTTTCCGGTTTAGTTTACGACGGATATATTTAGTTATTGTTTTGATATTTGTAACACAAGAGCGATGTAAAAAACCCACAGCAACACAGAAAAGATGGTCTTAACATGACCCAGCGGTCTAGTAGTTAATAAAAAACAATAATATCAAAACAAATCATTACTACTAACTTTATTGTGAAATTAAAACCGAACGATAAAAGAATAGTTTCCGGTCTATTCTGAGGCCCGATCTCTGTAGATAAATAAAGAACTACGACAGATGTGTAATGTTTAATGCAGCCAAACCATTCATTACAATGCATTCATGTGATGACTTTCAAAGAGTAAGCAAGCACTGCTGAATAAAGTATGATTTTATCTTTTACGAAACGTTTTTTTTCATATGGAATGCAGTTGGAGGTCAACCAATCACAGAGCTTGAGAACTAATCACGGGGTTTGTCAAACAGAGCACATGGTGTAGTCCTAAACGATAGCTGGGGATTCTGGGTAGTGTAGTGTCTTCTGCCATCGTAAACTCCGAAAAAATATTTGTTTCTCCGAATCGAAGGGGAAAAATACAAAAGCATTGCACACAATTTAAACCAATCAATGTTGTGTAATTAACAAGGATAATCTGGTGTTTTTGAGTTGATGAGTAGTGCAGATATCACTGTCAAAACAATCGACAGTAAGGGGAATACTTACTTCCGGGTGTACAATTCTCCGTTATCCAATGGGAATGGACGCTCACATTGCCTTTAAATGCCGCCGACACAAACGAATGCGGTGCTTCCCTGAGCGTCAAATCCCGCCGCAGATGGGAATACATTGCAATCAGTTGAAAGCTATTTGCGTCCCTTTATGAAGCTGAAGGAGCCTAGGAGCGTCACAACTGCACGCCTCGGGACCCTGACCAAGCGTCGCTCCTGGACGTTTGTGGAGTGAGAGTGTGTTGAAACAAACATATAAAGCATATTTGTCCACTCATATGTTGATAAGAGTATTACAAACTTGAAAAATATCCCTCTAAGGTACATTTAGAACAGATAAAAAATGTGCGATTAATTTGCAATTAATCGCGATTAACTATGGACAATCATGCGATTAATGCGATTAACTATGGACAATCATGCGATTAATCGCGATTAAATATTTTAATCGACTGACAGCCCTAATTATTATTATTATTATTATTATTATTATTATTATTAACCACTAAAGGGAACAGCAGAAGAAGACAGAGGAGCCCTGAATGCCAAGTCTCTTATTTGTAATTTCCTCGAACCTCGCCCGAACCGGAAGTTGTTCTGTTGCGCCATCTTAAGGAGCGTTCCATGGTGCTGATTTGTGCCGGAGGAGCGAGGAGCCACCAGGCCATCCTTCAGGGAAATCCTCAGCCACTCGCTGAGCTTACTGTGTATCGCTCACTGATTGGACGCTGCAACGCATCCACTGATCTGATGCTTCTTAACATCAGAGTAGTTTAATAGAGTGAAGATAACTCATTAAAGGGAATCACTCCTCAGTCTATACGGTTTGTTTTTCAAATAATTTATCATCTAGTTTAAAATAAGTAATAATACATCTGAACAACAAAACGGACCACATATAACATTTTTTCTTATCTATATATTTATTTTTTATTTTTCGTCATTTTCATTGAGGCTGACAATTTTTGAGCGTAATTCTTCCTGAAAAAAATAAGCCTTGTCAGTGTTCAAAAAGCACCACGATATCTTGGATTCCTAGATTATGAATTCAAAATTCAGGATATCAATAAATGCAGACGTTAATAAATAAATGAATAATATAAAGGCATTCTGCGGGTAGAACAGGTCCGCTCAGCAGGACTCAGAATAACTACAGAGAGCAGGGTTATTAACCTGTTAAGGCCGAGAGGCCCCTAATCCGGGTCTGGCGGGTAGTTTTTTCACGAAACTGTGTCTCAGGGCTTCTTAATATTTAAAAATCTATTAACTTAACGGT